AAAAAGAAAAAAAAAAAAAAAAAGCACGTGGCAGAGTTTTTTTGAAACTGCCGGCACCTTTGTGTTGTTGCTATGATTGAGGCTCAGAAAAGATTATCAAAATCCATGATGGAGATTTATTGATTGTGGTTGTGACAATTGATGTGCAACTAGATTAGTATTATTTTGAATAAGAAATAATCTATTGAAGAAACATAATAAGCAAGAGATAAGTAAGTAGAAATCAGCAAGGTTAGATACAAGAAAAGTTTGGAATGGGATGCCTCTCACTTCCAACACCCTTTACTTATAGGTAGAGTTTTATATCCATTGTGGTTCAACTTCATTCTCATTCATCCTTACTTCATTCAACTAAATCCTAGATTCTACTTAACCTAGCCGCCATTATAAATCCTAGCTACTACCTTAGTAACTTTTCCAATTACTTTTTGCTGCCTTTTAACCATTAACAACTTACGATAGGTAATATCTTTTATTTGTCCAACATTTACTTTATCACTCCCACTTTGCTATTAGTTAAAGATTTCTAATCCTAATGCCTTTGTCAATTTGTAATGTCTATCCTTTACCAATGCTTTTGTAAGCAAATCAGTAAGCTTGTCTTCCGTTGCACAATACTTTATGGCAATTACTCCCATTTCAATCTTTTTTCCATATGAAGTGATGTTGAATGTCAATGTGCTTTGTCCTTGAATGATGCTTTGGATTCTTTGAAAAGGCAAGGCATCCTTGATTATCACACTTCATTGGAGTTGCTTCCAATTGCACAAGTCCAATGTCTTCTAAAACTTGTCTTAGCCATATTGCCTCTATTGCACCATGACTTACTGCCATGTACTCTGCCTCCATTGTTCGCCTTGCAATTGTTGGTTGTCTCTTATAATTCCATGAAATTGCTCCCACTCCAACAAAGAACACATATCTCATTGTTGACCTTCTATCATTTGCATCTTCAGTCCAATCCATATCACAATAACTACGCAATGCAATATTATCACCTCCAAAGCGCAATTCGAAGTTCAAAGTACCTTTTAAGTACCTTGTGATCCTCTTAATGGTTGTCTAATGGATTGGTTCAGCCTTTGACATGTGTTGATTCACAATGCTCACTGCATATGCAAGATCTATCATTGTGCCAAGCATTGCATACATAAGTGAGCCTATTGTTGTCTTGTATGGAACATCTTTCATTTCATCTTCAACTTCAGCAAACTCCTCATCTATAAACTTCATCAACTTCATATTGGCCTCTAATGGTGTTCTAATAGGCTTGTACTTCTCTATGTTGAATCATTTCAACACTTCTTCAATATACTTCTTTTGGCTCAATGTAATGATATCCTTAGTTCAATCTCTCACAAACTCCACTCTTAAGCAATAGTAGAGCTCTCCCAAATCACTCATCTCAAATTCTTTTGCTAGCTTTGCCTTCAATCAATCCATCTTTTTTAAGATGTTGATTAAGATGATTAAATCATCAACATAGAGAATAACAATCAATAAGAAGACTTTTGATTTCATTACATATATAGAATGATCAAAATCACTTCTCACAAATCTCTCATTCATAAAGAATGTGTTGATGCATTGGTACCATGTCCTTGGTGATTGCTTGAGCCCATACAAGGATTTCTTCAACTTACAAACAAGGTGTTGCTTGCCTTTTTCAACAAATCCTTGAGGTTGATCCACGTAGATGTCTTCTTCCAACTCTCCATTCAAGAAAGCTATCTTCACATCTATTTGATGCATCTCCAAGTCCATTGTTGCTCTAATTTCCACAATAGTTCTAATGGTAGTGAATTTGGCCACGGGAGCAAATGTCTCATTAAAATCAACACCAGGAACTTGTGAATAGTCTTTGGCAACCAATCTTATTTTATACTTCATAACATTACCCATTGCATCCCTCTTTTTTCTAAATACCCACTTACAACCAATTGAAGTTCGATTTGATGGAAGTTGAGTCAATTCCCATGTTCCATTATTCATGAATGATTGATCCTCTTCTTCCATAGCTTTCTTTCACTTCAAAGCATCCGTGGACTTCATTGCATCACATAAACTCAACAGATGAACAAGAAGTGCAACATTGGTATATTCTTCACTTACTTGAAGAAAGATGTGATTCTTCTATTATTTGCCAAGTTGTTTTCTATCTCTCAAAAGATATCTCCTTTCATTTGAAGAAGACTCAACTTGTTATATTCTATGGTCTCCTCCAACCTTCTTTTTTTTTGTAGATAGTTTTTTCTCACTCAAAGATTGATAATCCTCATGACCATCATCATCAACATCTTCATTCTCTTCATTGTTGGTCTTAGAATTTTTAAAGGCCTTATTCTCCACCTTCTTTGCCTCTTCATCTTCATTTCCACCTTTACAACCATCATTGTCTTCATTTTCTTCTTTCTTTGCTAAATTTGAAGATGTGTCTACAAACACACTATTACTCCCACTTCAATACATCTCTAAGTGCTTACAAGCACTCTTATGCTTCAAAAACTCAACATCACGACTTTTGATGATTTTTTTGGTTTCTAAATACATGAGCCTATAAGCCTTTGTACCTTCACAATATCTAACAAACTTACATTTTATACCTTTTGTATCAAATTTTGATTTCATACAATCTGATATCTTTGCATATGTTATGCATCCAATAGTCCTCATGTATAAAACACAAGGTTTCTTTCCACTCCAAGCTTCTTTGGGAGTTTTTGATGTAAGTGCACTTGTAGGGCATCTATTCTTTGTATACACTGTTATTACCATGGCTTCTGTCCAATACTCAAATCCAAGGTTTTGTGCATGTAACATACTCTTTGCCATCTCCACAATGGTTTGATTTGATCTTTCAGTAATTCCATTTTGTTATAGAGTATAAGAAGTAGACGTTTGTCTTGCAATACCATACATCTTCAAGAAATCATTGAATTGCTTTGACATATACTCACCTCCATTTTTTGTATGTAATATCTTGATTTTGTACTTACATTGCTTCTCCATAAGTGCCTTAAATTCCTTAAACCTTGTGAAACACTCATTCTTTGCTTTGAGGATGAAAATCCACACCTTCTTTGAAAAATCATCAATGAATGTGAAAAAATACCTTGTACCTCCTATTGATGGTATCTTCATAGGTCTACAAACATGAGAATAGACTATCTCCAATAATTTTATTGCGCGTATTACAATTCTACTTAGAAATATAGCTCTTTGTTGTTTGCATTGAATACAACCTTCACAAGCAAGTGTCATAGCATTGTGGCTTATATAACCAAGATCTAAGCCATTTACTATGGATTGGAGTTCTTTCATGCTCTTAGCATTCAAATGACCAAGGCGTCGATGCCAAATATCAAACTTCTCTTAATCTTGAAGAAATTCAGCAAATGCTACCACTTCAACTCCATTCACCTTGTTACACTTGATGAAGTAGAGGTTTCCATCTCTAAAGCCCTTTGCAACATCATCTCCTTCCAATGTCTTCACAAAACACCCATTCTTATCAAATTGCACTTTATAACCATGTGAAATAAGTTTACTCATTGAGAAGAGGTTTTTCTTCATCTTTGGCACATGTAAGACGTCCTTCAATCTAATCCTCTTAGTTTGGCCTTTTATAAAAATCTCTACTATAATAGAGCCTGATCTAATAGTTTATATTAAGCCATTGTCTACCGTGAGTATATTTGTTGCTAAAATTTCTTTATAAGTGTCAAATAAATACTTGCATGGAGTCATGTGCTTGGTGGCACCCAAATCAACAATCCACTTGGACATGGCAGCTATGGAAGTACCTTCACTTACCATGAATGTATAATCATCACCTCCATATTCAACATGAGTATTATTTGTACTTTCTCTATTTATTTTCTTAGCTTTGTAGCAATTTCTAGCAAAATATTCTGGTTTTCCATAAATTAAGCAAGTTCTTGTATTGCCACATTGGTTAAAATAACTTCCCTTGTCTTGTCTTGAAAAGAGAGCCAAATCTTCACTTTGAGGCTCTTTTTCTTTTCTCTTAGTCACTTCATGAGCAAGTCTTGCCATCACATAATCTATTGTAAGCTCTTTTAGTTTGATGGACTCCAATGCCACAATAATGTAGTTGTAGGACTTGAAAAGGCTCATAAGCAAGGTCATGACAATATCACTCTCTTTTAAAGACTTGTCAATAATTGCAAGTTGATTAGCAAGGGCCTTTATTTTATTGACATGAGCCATGATGTCATCACCTTCTTCCATCTTGCAAGTAAAGAATTTTTTCTTTGTGAAGATGATATTAGATAAGTTCTTGCTCTCATATATGTTGTAAAAGATCTTCCATGCTTCTGTTGGTCTTTTATAAGAGATGATATGAGAAAATTTAGCTTCATCCAAATTGGTGGCAATCATACCAAAAGTCTTCTTTTTGCATCTTATAAAGTCCTTCTTCTCTTTAGCATCAGCATGCATGCTTGGAGGCTCTTCACTTTCATCTATAATGTCCCAAAGATCCAAAGATGCCAACAAAAGTTCCATTTTCACCTTCTAATGGTAGAAATTGTCACCTTTAAACTTTTCAATCACTCTCAAACCTTCACCCTCACTAGAAGCCATGTCTAAGAATAGGTCTATCAAAAAATATCAAAAAAAAGAGTCTCTATGTGCTTAAAATCACCAAAATAATTTTATACTAGCAAAATTTCAGAATGCCCTCTTGTGAACAGATGAGTGTTTTTTCACTTCAAACACTCTCAACTCAACTTTGAAAGATTTTAACAAGTATGTGGACTCCAATCAACCTCACCATCAATTTTTCTAACTCATAAAACTCACTTTCTTACTAAAACTTCCACAATACCAAAGACACTATCAAGGTCTTTGTATAAGATCTTAATCACTTAATCCTAGGAATTAAGAACCTTCAAACATATCTTAGGAATCTATAAGGCCCAAATCAAAACCTCCACAAGCCAAAATTTAAGATTAGATCATACAAATCCTAACATCAGCAAATACTATAAGATCTATTCCACATAAGAGCAATAATCAACAAATAACTTCAACTTACTAGAGAAGTACAATCAAATATGTGTGGGCCCATAATCTATTGAAGAAATATAATAAGCAAGACACAAGTAAGTAGAAATCAACAAGGTTAGATACAAGAGAAGTGTGGAATGAGATGCCTCTCACTTCCAACACTCTTTACTTATAAGTAGAGTTTACATCCATTGTGGCTCAACTTCATTCTCATTCATCTTTACTTCATCCAACCGAATCATAGATTCTACTTAATTTAGCCGCTACTCCAAACCCTAGCCGCTACATTGATAACTTTCTTATTACGTTTATTGCTCTTTAAGCATTAAGAACTTACGTTAGGTAATATCTTTTATTTGTCAATTATTTTTTTTATTAATTCATGCTTAGAAATAGATATGCATTCTTAATAATCTGCTTATTGAAGGCTTGATAGTGAATGCAAAGACAAAATCCACTTTCTTTTTTATATAAAAATATATATTTGTTTTTATTTTTGTTACAAAGTTGATGGTTATAAAAATAAAGTTGGAAGAATTTGATATTGAAATAATTGTAATAAATTCCAGTGAAGGTTGATGCACAATGGTTAGATATTGGAGAATTGTATAAAACCAATGTTGTGGAGGTTTTGCTATAGAGATAGTGTTGTAAGTTTAGAAAAATATTTTAACCTTTTTTTACCTTTGAGGTTATAAAATACAACTTGAAATAAATTCTAGAGTTATGTTTTATCCAATGTATGTTAATACTAGAATGTCATATTATCCTTATGGTATATACTATTGTGTTTTAATTTTAAAGTTTTGTATATATCTCTGTGTAAGAAATAATATTGTACTTGAAGTCAAATTAGTTAAGTTCATCGTAAAGATTATTTTTAACTTATAAAAGAATTTTACTTAATGTACATGAATAAAATTCATCAAAAATAGAAAATATCAACTTAAATTATTGACTTATTGTTTTAAAGATGTAGTTGTTTTGGTTTCAAAAGAACTATGTGTTATTGATCTTAAATAACATTTTTTTCTTTTATTGTCAAATAAGCTCAAATATTTATTGTATGTAATAGGCCTTATTGACTTCTAAGTCAATATGTAATATTAAATACATATTGTGTCAAAAGCATGCTTCAATAAGCTTGGTGGTAATTTGATGCACATGTTGACATTTAATATTTAAGTTTCTTGTGATTAATAAAAACTTTGATTAAATGATTGGGACCTTCTGGGCAATCATGACATTCTTAAAAAGAATCTACTAAAGGGATAAGTGATTTGTTATGAGTTTTATAATCTTTCTATAGTACTTAGAATTTTTTTGAACAAACGAGAATACAATAAAATCTATCATCTACATTCGATTGTAATAAACTATACATAAAGCAAAGGCTAATGCATATGTATTTGTAATAATTCATATCATTTTTCTTTTTTAATTATTATATTTGAAATAGAATTTATAAAAAAAAACTATCATACAAACATTGCTTTTAAGTTGTATATTAATTTTTGTAAATATATATATATATATATATATATATATGTATAAATATGCATGATTAACTTATATTTATTATTCTATAGAATAAAATATATATATATATATATATATTTTTTTTACTTAAACAAGATAAAATGATTTATACAAACTAATTATAAAATTATGAAGAAAAAATAGAGTATATCAAAAACATACTTATGGATAAAACTATTTAATAGACTAATTTAAATTCAAACCAAATTTTGGATAGAAACTTTTAGTGTATGAATTTAATATTTGGAATATAAAACAATGATACTTAATTTTGAAAATTTGATTAGATGTAAGCCAATATAATTCTTTTTAAATTATAAAAAGTTTTCAAAATACAAAGAAAAATTTAAAATAAAGTATTAGATTGAAAAATGAAAAAAAAAAAAAAAAAAACTTTAAATTAGATGCAAGATTGTGTGTGTGTATGTGTGTGTATGTGTGTGTGTGTGTGTTTTTTTTATCATAAGAGACTTATATTGTATAACTTAGATGGTCATGTCTATACCTATCTAGAATTCCACATGAGCAACATAAAAAACTATAAGTGATCAACATATAAAAAATTAAGAATAAATGGGCTTTAGATCAATAGAGAAGCAAAACTCATATTTCCCTAAAGTAACAAGCAATAGACTATATCCTATGACCAAATGTGACATAACCACAATCAATCACTGTACACTAACATCATGCAGAATTATATGTACTTGAAATGCTTTCGTCATGAAAAATCAGAAAACATGTTGAACATAAGCATCTCTCAATAAACATAAGAAATGGGCTTGTGTGACCTCAAGGTGGCATGTTGTGCTAAAGTCGGTGGTGACGTGGACGTGGAAGGGGGGTGCAACCATGTTGGTCCGCATGTCATCTCGTCTCTGCTCGCCTCGTCTCGAGGTCTCCAAAGTTAGTAAGTGCGTTCTCTCAAAGGTGGGGGAAGGGTTCGTCTTCTGCTCGCACAAGCCTCACCATCCCCAACCGTATCCTCCCGCAACCTCCTCAACGCTTTCGTTTACGCACGCACGCACGGCGGCAGTGTTTGCAACTGCAAGGCTCTGCTCTCGATTTTTGGCGTTGGTTGTGAGTTCCAAAGCCTGTGCCGGATTACGTTGCCCGATGTTGTCGTTTGTGGATTGCAGCAGTTGGCGAGATTGGGTTGTGCGTTCGAGCTTGTTGCTTTGATTAATTTGAGTCCTGTGGCGGTGGTAGTGGCGGTGTTCGACTCGTGTAGATGTCTGCTTTGGGGAGCTGGGGTGGTATGACGACCGTGTGTATGTTGGGTGATTTGGATTCGGCGGCATTGAATGTTATCGGCGTCCTTAAGGGTGAAAGCTTAGGGGTTTGTATGCTGGTCGGGAGTAGAAGACAGTGGCGAGATTGGCGTGGGGAGTTTGGAAAGGCGTGTTCGAGAGTTGATGACCTTGGGACGTGGAAGGCATCGGTGATAAATTGGCAATGTCGTGTAGTTGCTTAGAGGGATGATGAGGTCGAGAATCGCATCCGCGTTGGCCAACGCAGTTATCGAGTGCCATGATCATGGAGCGGAGCTGTGGTAGACTGCGTGCCGGTGTTTGCGTCTGTGACGGAATGAGTTCCGCGAATGAACGGATTCTGGACTTCCGAGTGCAGGGGCTTTCATGAGCGACATAGCATTGGGTGTTGTCGGGTTTGGAGGTCAGGGATGCCAATCGATGCTCGTGACGCACATTGACCTGCACATTGGTGGCAGTTCGAGAGAGGCGTTGGTTAGTAGAGGACTTGTTGTTGTTTCCCTTTTCACATGTAGAGAAGTGGGGCTATGGGTGTTTATGAGGTGTTCCATGTGTAAATGATGCGCCGTATCTAGCAGGCGATTGAGGTTCTGCGACTCTGACGACGTTGGAGCTTGTGAGGTGCAGAGAATTTGAATTGATGGCAAGGGTGTGACTTAGGCCCGCCGATGGTCATCGTTACGATGACATTTAGGCATGTCGTGTGGGATGGCGTGGGGCGCCTGTAATCATCGGGAGGTCGACGTCATGTGCTGGGTGTGTGTTTTCGGAGCTGTGATGTTGTTCTTGGTGGAGGGTCCTGACGGGTGTCTTTTGGCGTACAGGGAAACTGGACGAATGTGCGAAGGAAGGGTTGTTGGCACGGGGAGCAAGAAACAGGGCTTTGTCTAGGATCGAGGGCGGACAGGAAGAATGAGTCAAGACAAGTACGATTGGCTGAAGAGGACGTCAACCTTTTCGCGGGTCATGAACCCTGAGCTGCACACGAAGCCAAACCTGATGGTGGGGGCCATTGGCACGGGTGTGTTTGTGTTCCTTGTGGGCAGCATGTACATGCAAAGGCAGGCGATGTTACAAACCCCGAAGGTGGAGCGTGATGGAATAAAACAAGATGAATCAATGATGAAGTAAACCCTAGGAATTAAAAAGAGGGATTAGAGGAACACATAGAAAATGTTGCATTACCTAACTCATTACAGCTGTGAATGCACAGGGTATAAGTACACTGGTTGAGATCCTATACTTCCGGATTTCAGTACAACAGTGTGACATAGATATAATTATAACTAGTGAATTAGAATAGGACGACGAAGTGTTGTTATAGCACCAATACCCAGTCTCTTTGCCAACTTTGCAAGGGTGAGAGACAAAAATGACATCAATTTTCTTTTGTCATGGTGAATATGAAGACATCCCATGTTGCACTTTAGTCAATTCAAGAAGAGGGGCGGTGAAGACATGGGTCGGCTCGGAGACAATTTAAGTTGCCTTCTGTATTTGGTCACTTGGCCAAGGGGGTGTAATGATGAGTATAATTGGTTTTGTGGGATTGTTGTTGTGTTTGTCCAAAAGATTCATGTTGATGAGCAACTAAGTGGTGGTGCTACTTGTTTTGTGAATATTCCATAGTTTCTCCCAACATATGTTACTTCTATGAGAAAAAGAGGATGAGCAACTTGGATACTAAGATTGACCCTATAAAGAGTGAATTTGTTTTCAGATGTTGAATATTTTTGTTTTTTTGAGAATGTAGTTGTGGTTAAGTTGTGTGTAGATGTTGGGTACTTTTGTTTTCTTGAGAATGTAGTCATGGTTAAGTTGTGTGTAGATGGAGTTGTGCAGAGTTCGTGTTGTAGTGAATATTCTTGCTTTGATTTGTTGTATTGGGGGTTTAGGTCTTTATTGATGAGTGTTGTCTTTTTGTAAAGGAACAAAAATTTGATAGAATAAGTGGACTTCCATGCTTGAATAGGTCATGTGAGAGATGTGAGGAAAAAATCATTAATATAGATTCTTGTAATGATGTTTTGCAAGGATCATCTTTTATTTGTTGTGATAATTTTCAAAATGTTCATGTAGGTTTCTTGAGGTCAATAGGATGTGTATATTGTAGTATTGATGTTGTGCTTGTATTAGAGTATAGAGAAGCAGAAGGCATAATTTCTCCAAGTCCATGTGTATTTATAAGTAATTCTTCTTACAAGAGTAATTTTTGGAAAGAGAAAGAGATGAAGATTGAAAGGATTGAAAGAAGAAATTGAGATAGAAGTAAGGATGTTTGTGGTGGAAGAGGGGATACTATTGAAGGTGATTAAAGAATTAAAAGAGGCAATTTAGTTTCTAATTTTTTTAGCAAAGGTGTTAATAGAAAAATTTGTGATTCCTAAATTGATGACGAAACCTAAGGCTAATAATGACATTTTAAGAATATTGTACCTATTATAAGCAATGTGTGAAGATTGGAAGAAGAGATTAATTGACAAGGCTAATGATAATAAGACTAAAGAGAAGAAGCTAAGAAAATTAGTAGAGACTACTCACAATAGAGATGCTTTGATCAAAGCTTTTTGACTTCAGTTGTAAGTAGACACATAATTATTTGTAGAAAGTGAGGATTCTAATGATTTTTTAAAAAAATAAGAATGATAGGTGAGAGAATGTAGATTTTGAGATTTAAAATGTAGAACTTTAGAATAACATTTAAGATTTACTTTTGCTTTGTAAGTTTCAAATAGGTCTTTTTTCAAGGATTTTGTAAAAATAATAATAACTTACTTTAATGAAAGACCTCATTTGAGTATAATTTTGTGACTTAATATTTTTTTCTCTATAAAATAATAATGGATATTAATATGTTTTGTCCTATAATTGATGTTGAGATTTGGTGCCATACAAATAATGTCTTCATTGTTGCTATAAACAAGAACAATTCTAATTATGTGAAGGCCAAAATCTTGAGTGAGATAAGCTAATCAAGCAATTTCTTTAGAGATAATAGATAACTCCATATACTTAGCTTTGAAAGAGCTCATGGCTATTGTGGATTGTTTTTTTATAAGTCAAGTGATGGATTAGAGTCAAGCATGTAGATATAGCACATTGTACAATAACCATCAATCATATTTTTAGTCCAATTTGTATCAATAAATCTAGTGATGTTTGAAATTGGTTTTTAAAGATTAAAAATGTGTCATGGACATATGTATGTAAGCCAATAATTATATCTATAAATAGTTACAAGGAAGTAAAAGTAGGTAAAAGTAAATTAATTCTATAATATTTGCTATGGAAGCTTCATAGAAGCTATATAGATGCGGCTTTGACTTTATAGGTGTCTTTAATTGACATTTTGGATTAAAAACGTGGTGAATAAGTTGGCCATGTTCGACACATGTTGTTAGCTTGAAGACTAAGCTAACTATGTGGCCTACACGTACAAAAACTTTCCTTGTAAGTCAAGGCATGTGTTCTACAAAGTCAATACATATTAGAGGTCCTATAGAACATCGCCACATAGCCCCTACTTAGATAGTATATATAGAGACAAGAGTGAAGCCTTCTTCACTCTTGTCAACTCCTTTCTTGCTTCTAGTCTAGTTTCAAGGGTCTCTAGTTTTCTTATCTTTTGACAATAGTTATTCCAGTTTCTTTTTTAATATACATAATTTAATTATTTATATTTTGTCATCTTTCTTTGACAGAAGTCTCACTTGTTTATTTGTCTTTATCAAGTTCTTGTCCATAACAAATTAATAAGAGTATACTTACAATATTAGAGCTTTGTCTAATCTTGATTAAGAGCGGATAACCTTTTTTTCATGATAAGACATAAACGTATTAGAAGTTACGGATTACCCTCTTCTAAACTGATATTGTCTTTAGTATTTTCTTTGTTTTCAAGTCGTTTCTTCTATTTGTCTTGAGAAATACTAGACATCTTTCATTTCAAAGTGTTATCATGACAAAACTTCTTGAAATGAAGAGTGCAATGGCACAAATGCAAAAGTAATTGAGGGAGTTAATACTTGCAATGCATCAACTCAATTTACTACTACAAAGAGCAATAAGATTGGCAAGAAGTAAAGATATAGAAATGATTGGAGCTGCTTCAACATCTGTACCAAATCATGTCTCTTTTCCTATGGTGGAACGCCCTTTTAATGTTAGAGAACCTAGAATTGTCCTACTCAAGAAGTTAAATAGTACAAAATCAAAGTTTAGAGGATTTATCAATCAAGTACAACTTGTAATTGAACTTCAACTCCAAAGCTATTTAATTCTAAGATTTCAAATTAGATTCATTGCTACGTTTCTTTCAAGTACAGCATTATCATGGTTTTTTATCTTTTCTAGAACGACGAGATCCAATATTGGATAATTTAAAGGCTTTTTTGGTAGAGTTTTGATCCATGTATAGAAAACATGATGCAATTCGTGTTGCAACCAATAAGATCCGTATTTTGCAATAATGCAATCAATTAGTAACATTGTACGCTTCACAGTTTTGATAACTTGCAATTGATTTCAAGTGGGATGATGCTGCACTTGTTAGCTAATTTCTATATGCATTACAATAGGATGTAAAAAAATCAATGCTCAACTTATCTAATCCTCAAACATTGAGTCAAGCAATTGACTTTGTTGTGAAGTGCCACAATCGTCTTTTTGAATTTTGATCTAAGAACCATACAAGTAGACCTCAATATTACTATAATTCAATAGCAACACCAACATCTATTTAATACATACATTTAGAAGTAGAGAATATGTAAATTAATGCGGTACGTTTCAAACCTCTTACTAAGTAAGAAAAGACTCATCATTGTCAAGAAGGATTATGCTTATATTGTGGAGAATCTAAGCTCAGTGCTCAATATTACCCAAAGGAGTGATACAACCATAAAATAAGAAGTATGGCAATGAAAAAAGATAGCATGTCAAAAAACAAATTTGCCAACTACAATAGGGACCGTGCGATTGTACAACACCTACTGAAGATCCTATTCTCTCTTCAAAACCCTCTCTATGTTTTACGATAAATGTTATTCTAGGACCTAAACATCACAAAGCCTCAGCCTTGTTAAATTCAAGAGCCTCAGCATGTTTCTTAGATGAAGAATTTGCTAAAAGATATAACATACTTTTAGTAAAGAAAACTAAACCCGTTCATATAGAAGTCATAGATGGTTGTCCGTTGTCTTCAGGAGATGTTACTCATGAAACTCTTCCTATAGAAGTAGCAACTAATATTCATAGTAGCTTTGTGATATTTAATATTATTAGATCTTCCTCTAATCTAATTATTTTAGGATTTATGATGGTTAGAAAAATATAACCCTAAAATAGATTGGACTTCTCGTAGTCTTGACTTCTCTTAAAGTATAACTAAAAGCATAGTTAATTAAGTAAAAATTCATAAGTCTAGTATAATTAAATCTATATTTGTAGGTGCAAGAGCTTTCTTGCATACTGCAAAAAAAAGATCTCTTGTGTCATTTATACTACACTTGTTTCTATTGGTGAAAAGACTTCAAGTGGCATTCCAAGCCAATATCAAATTTTTCAAGATATATTTGAGAAGAAAAATGCAGATACTCTTTGAAAACATTGTTCCTATGACTATTTAATTGACCTTCAAGAAGAAGCACAACTGCCATTTGGACCAATCTACAATTTATCACAAAATAAGTTGCCTAAATTCAAGGAGTATATTGAACAAAATCTGGCCAAGAACTTCAAACGCCATTTCAAATCTCCAAAAGGAGTTCCAATTTCATTTGTAAAGAAAAAAGATAGATCATTGCGGATGTGTATCAATTATCGAGAATTCAACAAAATCACCATCAAGAACAGATACCCGCTACCTTTGATATTTGGACTCCTTAATCATGTGAATCAAACTAAGATCTATACAAAAATAGATCTACATGGATCATACAATCTGGTATGCATCAAAAAAAAAAAATGAATGGAAGACTACGTTTCGAACAAGGTATGGACATTTTGAATATAATATTATACGTTTTAGACTTACAAATATACCAGCAGCATTCCAACATCTAATGAATAATATCTTTTGGAAGTTTTTAGATGATTTTATTCTGTTATCTAGATGACATCTTAATCTATTTTAAAAATACAAAAAAACATGAATTTTATATTTATCGTGTGTTACAAAAACTAAGAGATGCGGGACTCTATCCCAAGATAAAAAAGTATATTTCACATTACACAAGTCGACTTCTTAGGATACATCATTTCAAATGATGGACTTATGATGGATACTAAAAAAGTTCAAGCCATTATGGATTGAAAGATCCCAAAAACGGTAAGAAATGTCTAATATTTTTTGAGATTTGTCAACTACTATCAGATCTTCATCAAAGTCTTCTCTCAAGTTGTAGCTTCACTTACACGTTTGATGTGTAAAGACAAACTTCAATGGAATCAAGAAGCGGAAGTAGCATTTGAAGCTTTAAAGACAACATTTATTTCTGCACCAATCTTGTATTGTGTCGATTTTTCTAAGTCATTTTTCATAGAAATAGATGCATCAGACTTTGCTTTGAGTGTCGTATTGTCACAAATGAGAACAGATGATAAATTTCATGCAATAGCTTTTCATTCCAAAAAGTTTTTAGCAACTGAGATCAACTACAAGATCCATGACAAAGAACTTCTTGCAATCGTGGATTTGTTTCAAGAATGGTGCCATTATCTAGAAGGTGCTTCTAGTCGAGTCACTGTATTTATAGATCACAAGAATCTTAAATATTTTATATCAGCACATGTTTTGAATCATTGTCAAGTCCATTGGAGTATGTCTTTATTAAGATTTGAATTCAAGATCACTTATCGATCAGGAAAACAACAAGATTTTTCAGATGCACTCTCTAGACGAACTTACCTTACATCAAAGGAAAGAGATGCTACTTTTGATCAACAATAGATAATTCTCTTGAAGCTAGAACATCTTCATCTTCGAGCAATGAAATCAACGCTAACTGTTAATTCAACTTTCATTAAGCAAGTTTAATTAAGTATGTCTTTTAATCCTCTTATTTGTGATATTTAGGAGAATCCTTCAAAGTCTCATGATACTTCCAAGTTTGAATTCAAGAACAATCTTTTATATTTTGAGAGACACCTATATGTTCTAGAAGGTGAAGCTCAATTATATGTTCTTCAAGCTCGTCATGACTTTCCAACAGCAGGACATTTTGGGTATAATAAAACTTTGGAATTAATATCGAGGGACTTTTGGTGGCCACAAATGTGAAAAGTAGTCAAAGATTTTGTACAATCTTGTGATGTTTGCTCAAGATCAAAAACTCCTCGTCATTGACCTTATGGACTTCTTTAGCCATTACTTATTCCAAAACAACCATGGTTTTTTGTTTCTATGGATTTTATCATGGATCTTTCTATCTCAGGTTCTTATGATTCTATATTCGTGATAGTAGACTGTTTTACCAAGATGGCACATTTTGTATCATGTACAAAATCCATCCCATGTGAAGAAACAGCTAAGATCTTTCTTGACAATATCTATCATCGATTATCCAAGGATGTTTTATCAAATAGAAGAATTCTATTTGTTTCAAGATTTTGGCGAATTCTTTTCAAGATTTTAAAAGTAGATATAAAATTATCTTTGGTATTCCATCCTCAAACTGATGGACAAACGGAGCGTGTTAATTAAATTTTGGAGCAGTATTTAAAATGTACCATCAACTACCAACAAGATGATTGGACAACTCTTTTGCCATTGGTAGAGTTTACTTACAATAACATAATACATTCTTCTACAAAACAAACACCTTTCTTTGTCAATTATGGTTATCGTCTAGAACTTGATACTTTTAACTTTTCAAAAGTTGATAATCTTGTGGCAAAAGATTTGGCAATTCATTTTTTAGAGCTATATGCAACGATGATAGCGTAATTAGAAGAAGCTCAAGAACAACAAAAGATTAATGCAGATGTCTATCAAAAGAAACAACCACTATTCTATATGGGTGATAAGGTATGATTACTTTGTCACGATATCAAGACCACTTGTCCTAGTGGCAAGTTGGACTATCAAAGGCTTGGACCATTTTCTATTTCTATACAAATCAATCCAGTTGCATATTATTTACACCTACCGGAGTCAATGAAAATCCATCCAGTATTTCTTGTGTCTCTTCTTGAACCATACAAGATAGTGGACATACCAAGAAGAAGACAAGCGTCACCTATTCCTATAAGAGTGGACAATAATGAAGAGTTCAAAGTGGATGAAGTCTTAGATTTAAGGCAGCATCAAAATAAATTAAAATAACTTCTCTATTGACGTGGATATGATATTAGTGAATGCACATGAGAGCTAGTAAAGAATCTTGTAAATGCAAAAAAAGTGGTGGATGCTTTTCATTGATGACATCTATTAAAAACAAGATGAAAACCATCCTTATAAAAGAAGTAAGATCTAGGCAAGATAACATTCTACTTTCAATCCTTGTTTGTAGCTTCTTTATAGTTGTGACACTGAGGAGATGGAGAACCAACAACCAGTGGATTCAACTCAAGAGCCTTTATTTGCTGACTTGGGGGATGAGATATTATGATTGTCACAACCTTCAAGACGAAGCAATCGAAATGAAGATCTTAAAGAATAATATATTCTTCTTTGAATAGATGGCGAGATACAATGCATTTGGTATCACAACCTTGGAAGGGACTCCCGATATTTGGTGATTTTATTAGAGGTAGGAACAACTCATGACGGTGTTCTAAATATTTTATTTCAAAGAAGTTATAAAGGCCTCAACAACAATCAAATAATTGGGTGGTATTCTTGCCTTAGTATGGGACATTATCGATGGTTGAGAGGCCCTATCAATCATCTTTGAAGAGAACAAAAATCAGAGAATGTGGCAAATACAATTCGTCATTTTATAGGTTTCTTCAACATATGATCACCTCTCTTCATGAAACTTGTCTCTAGAAGGGAAGATAATGTCATTGACATATGCATGTAAGCTAATAATTACATGTATAATAGGTTGAAGTAAGTAAAAGTAGGTAAAAATAAGTTAATTCTATAATATTTACTATGGAAGATTCTTAGAAGCTTTATAGACAATTCTTTGACTTTTTAGGTGTCTTTAATTGACTTTTTGGATTAGAAACGTGGTCAACAAGTTGGCCATGTGCCACACATGTTGTTAGCTTGAAGACTAAGCTAACTATATGGTCCATATGTAGAAAAACTTGCCTTGTAAGATAAGGCATGTATCCTACAAAGTCAACACATATTCGAGGTCTTATAAAACATCGCCACGTAGCCCCTAGTTAGATAGTATATATAGAGATAAGAATGAAGCCTTCTTTACTCTTGTCAACTCATTTTTTACTTCTAGTCTAGTTTCAAGGATCTCTAGTTTTCTTGTCTTTTGGCAATAGCCATTCCAGTTTCTTTCTTAATATACATATTGAGTTATTTCTATTTTATCATCTTTCTTTGAGAGAAGTCTCTCTTGTTTATTTGTCTTTATCAAGTTCTTGTCCTTGACAAAATGCCATAATTTGAAGTTTATTTAATATTTTTAACTATCTTTTGGATTACTATTAAGTGAGATTGTTGAAAACAAGCAAGAAATCTTGAGTAGATGTTTAGAATTGTAGAGATATCAAAGTGAATGTGTGTGTGATGATTTGATGTCCCAACTATAGATTTGTAGTATGTAGGAACACATGGTTTTGCATTCATGTCTATTGTGAATTTTAGTTGTTCTTATACTAGTATTATAGCAGGAGCACAATTCTATATTCTAAAAAATTTAAAGACTTAAAATGTATAGTTGCATTTTGTCATAAAAATACTCTTAGGTAGTTTAATATATTTTGCTTTGAGGCAAAATGTCATATTTCCTTTGGTTAGTTCTAACATGTCAAATTTTGATATAAAATATTGTTTGAACTAGTTTAGATAGTTGGTAGTAAATAATAGGTCATCCAAGTATAGAACAAGTAGTAGTATTTTGCATATATATTTGACATCATATAGATTATAGTTGCCTTCTCTTTTAGAAAAACCTTATTTTTTTTTAATAGAAAAGAGTTGATTTTTATCATACCATACTTTAAAAGCTTACTTGAATCCAAAGAATTCTTTATGAAGTCTGCAAACACGATGTTACTTTCTATTTTAAATAAATCCTTGTAGTTGTGTGATATATACTTCTTCCTTCAAATCACCATGAAAAAACGTAGTCTTAACATCCATGTGGTAAAGTTTCCATCCTTTTTGTGTTGCTAATGCTATCATCATTTTGATTGTTCTCCATTTCACAATTAGAGCAAAAATTTCTTCATAGTCTATTCTAAGTTGTTGTTTACAACTTTGAGTGACTATCATGATTTTTTTTCTTTTTCTTTTGTAGGTTACCATCAAATTTGATAGTCTATTCTAGGTTGTTGTTCACAACCTTGAGTGACTATCATGGTTTTTTTTCTTTGTGGGTTACCATCAAATTTGAGCTTGGCTTAAAATACCCTTTTGGTAGAAATAAGTTGCTTGTCAATTAGAAGTGATGAAAGCATCGAGGTTCTGTTGTAGATAAAATGCATTTTGTTTTCTACAGAAGTTCTCCATCTTGCATCCTTGATAGCTTTGAAATAGAAAGAAGGATCAATGTTTGATAGACAAATGTAACTGAAGTAGTCTTGCATCCAATCTGGTGGCTTTGTGACACGTTTGCTGGAACGTGTAAAAGAAGGAGAAATTTTGATGCTGAAAGGCTTAGTGGACTCTCTTGTTGATCAACATGTCGTAGTCATTCTTGTATGGAGAGGGCGGGATACGTGGGTCCGGCTTTTGATATTGATTTCGGGTGCTGGTGTTAGCTTTAGGGGATTGCAGTGAACGAGGCGTATGTCATGGCGAGTTGGGTGCGTAGATTTGTGGTAGTTGTGTCTGTGCAGTGTGTTTTTGGCAGCTTCAGTGGGCGGAGAAGCACGGAGTTGTCCAAGATCAGGTATGGTGTCTTCAGCCATTCCAGTTGCTGAATGACGACCGTCGCGCTGGGCAGTGTGAGTAGAAAGGAAGGCAGTCTGTGCACTGGAGCTGGCAGTATGGACGCCATTTCGAATTGTGAATGAGTTGGAAGTGTGGAATATAAGTGCTGTGTGATTGTGATCCGTGCACTGGAGCACGTGGTTGGTTTGAGAGCCGCAGACGGGTAGTTGGCGAAGTAGCAGGATGGTAGATGACGAGGGTTTGGCGTTGTTTGTGTCTGTGCGGCGAACAAGAGCAGTTGTGCCGGAACACTTTCGTGAGCATCGTGAGGCGGTCGGCACTGGGTAGAAAGTGTGAGTCTTGGTTTGTGTGGAAGTTGTTGATTTGCCGAGCAGCTGGTTCATTTCACAACGGGTTTGTAACTAGTGGTTGGTTGGGGTTTGGAATTGGTATCGTGTGGGGATGTCAGTTGTGAGGAACCTGACGGAACTAGGACAGGACAGCTATGGGAGGCCTGGGCTGATGCACATGACCATTGCTGGGGCCGTCCATCACGGCATGAAAGAGGTATGAATGTGAGGTTTTTGAGGAGTCTGGATGGGGATGGATTGCGACGGAAACGAGCTCTTTTATGCACGTCGATGCGGTCGCCGGCGTTTGTGGTTGGTGATGGAGATGAGTATAGGTGCTGAGTGGTGGGTTTGCGGAAGAGGACTGATGTTGAGGGTGATGGAATGAGTTGGTTTTGGTGGACGCGAAGTTGGAAAGCGTCGGGCACAGTGTGCGTATGATATGGATGTATGTGGTATTTGGTGCAGATGGAGGTATGGATGCAAACGTTCGCTCCGAACTCCGGAACACCGATTCATCGGCATGAATGCGAAGAGGTTTTCATCACACTGAAGGGTCACGGAACCCTGTATCTCAGCCGAAGTCGCGAGCTGGATGCTCCTGGAGAGCCGGAGGAGTTCCAGATATACCCAAATGCGACGTTCACAATTCCAGTGGATTCGGTGCATCAGGCAACTAGACTGGAACCTATTTCCTTTGGTAGAGTCGATGAGAGTGGATTTGTGAGGAAGTTGCGGATTGCAGTGAGATTGGATGGGATGTCGACAGGTGCGAGGATAGCACTGGTGTTAGGAACGTCAGAGGTAAGGAAGATGGAGCTGAATGGATAGCAGGATAACGCGAATGTGGCAGTATAGAGGAGGTTGAGAGAGGTAGCAGTGATGTGGGAAGTTTGAATGGTTGACGCAAGGGTCATGAAACGTGAAATGCGGGAGTGGTGCAGGTGAGGAACACGAATCAAGGCGAAGATCTGCAGGTGGTCGTGACCATCTCCAGGCCTCCCATGAAATCGTGAGATTCCCAACGGTGCATGCTTCTGTTTCAGCTGTGTTATATATTTGCACGTGCTTTGGATGGACTGGCAAGCAATTCAGTGAGTCGTTTGATGTTGGGTTGTGTGGGGCATTTGGAAGTTGGCGGGGTTGTGATTGTGTTGCGACGATAGTGAGGCATGCGGGAAGTAAACTGGAAGGTGGGATGTGTGGGACAGATTCATTTACAAGGAGTGGTCTACTCCCCACGCCGAAGCAGTATACGAGCCAAGAGAGTGGGATAAGGAGGACAAGTTGTCGAGTGCATCGCAGCAGTGCAAGGAGCCTGAAGCAGAGGATGATGTGATGGCAGACATTGCGAAATTGCTCGGTAGGAGCATTGAGGACATTGTGGTGTCTGATGAGATAAGGTAGTGCAGGTGGTATGAGGTTTTGTAGCGCAGTTGTGGGAGTGGAGACGCTGCGGCGCGGTCGGTGGGATGGCTTGTGTACCGGGGGATGGGAATTGGACTGGTGGGCAGATAGCGGCTGAGTGCAGGGAGCAACTAGTGCTACCAGGAAGCCTGTGTAATGCAGTCGAGCGCCGGACCGAACACGGTGTATGTGTCGGGGAGCGCTTTTTTGACGATTATTGGGGCGGTGGACGGAGATGCGGGGAGTGTTGCGTGTATGTGAAGACGCTTTGAGGGCCATGACGCGGTTGTGAAGTTAGTCAGAGGAACCCGAAAGGATAGGTGGTAGGAATGTGGCTTGTATGTGTCCGAGTAGTGGTGGGTTAGAGTTTCAGTGAGGGGCGGAAAGAAGTACCTGCGAGTGGGGAACGGTTCATCCTTTCTCCGGTATGAGGTGTGAAAGTAGGAAGGTTCATTAAGTATGTTTTGTTTGGATGTTATTAAGTCGCATTAACTGCTCAAATATATCCTCATTTGAAGGGGTACAGCGAAGCGTCTAGGACTGTGTACCATGGAGGTTTGACTGATCGTAACAGGCACAACTGTGAGTCAACTGAATAAACGGTGCTGCACTTACTTGACTATCATCTAAGGTATGTCTTATTATCCGGTCTTGAGCTGCATCAGGTATGAACATGGAAAGGAATTGTTGAAAGTCATGCGTGTCCCCCCCTGCATCAAATGCTTGAAGGCGAAGTGAATCCAGTGAG